AAATTACTTCCTGCTGTCTGGGAGCAAAGGCATCTTCAGGGGGTCCTGAAAAGAAAATTGTTGGGTTAATTGTTAAGTCCTGGGAGAGTTAGCTGTTTCATTTGTTGTCCATTCTCTGCATAATTGGAAAGTGCAGGCTTGTCTCAAGTCCTTGCTTGAGTAGTTAGTGAGGCTGAATCATCTCAGCTAAAAGTCTCGAAATTGTCATGATCAGTTTGTAGCCCAAAGCTGATCTTTGGGTGGTTTTTGTCATCTTAGTGGTATTATCCTGATGGAATCATTGTCGTGGAGCCCCATCATTGTTTTGGAGATTCCAAAGGTGGCAGCTGGGCCTGATCATGGTTCACTGCAGAAAATCTTTTTCTTGAGACATTTTTTTTTCTGGATGATTTGTCCTTTTTCTTCAGATGTCTCATTTGTCCACTGGTCTTCAGATTCCTTAGCCTTCATTCCTCTGGAAGACAAAAACCGTTTCCCAACCCGAACTTTGTGGAGTTTCCAAATCTAATCTTTATCAATTTTGATTTATAGTTTCTTTTGATTTTTTTGTTCTCTCTTCTATAGCTGTTTTATCATCCAGAGCAGAATGGTCTTTTTACAATAGGCATTAGGCTTTTTAATTGCTCTGGGAAGAAATTTCTTCCACCATGACAGGAAAAGACCGAACAGAATTTGACATGGGATCTTTGAGAGGTCCCTCAGGGTGTTTTCCAATGGCAAAGGCAAGGGATTACCTTGTCTGTCCCTTGTTGATCTACATTTGTTAGTCCAGTGTCTATCTTTGCCACACCTTCTGCATAATCTAGAAGGGAGGGGCCTTCTGTTAGGATTATTCCTTGAGAAAACATTATTTCTAGGAACACTCTGTTTATAGTCCCTTTTTAGGTGACCTTGTTTCCACAATTAAAACATTTGGCATTTCTATTCTTCTTCAAATCTCTGGAAATCACCTTTCCTATTCAAGCATTATTATGGTCATGAGATTCAATATTTATTGTATCTCAGATCTATTCCTCCAAGGGTGCTGATCTTGCCTTTCTTAGCCTAATTACCCTTTTGCATTGTGCATTAGCATTTTCAAAAGCCAGAGGTTCAATTATCATCTGTCTAACTTCTGAATTTGGTGTCATTCTATTTACTGCTGAAGATAGCCTTTGTAAGAAATCAGTGACAATTTCTTTTGGGCCTTGTATAACTTTAGTAAATGATTCAATTTTCTTTCCTACTTCTTCAATTCTGTCCCAAGCATTCAAGGCTGCTATTTGACATAGCTAGGGTGTGGTCATCATATAGAGATTGGCTTTCTACATTAGCATAATCTCCCTCTCCAAGAAGTTGATCTTTGGAGATTTCCATACCTGTAGCCCTACTTCATTGTTCAATGGTCTTAGCCTCATCTTTTAACCAGGTCCTCCATTGTAATTGTGGACCAGCTTCTAGAACAGCTGTAACCAAATCTCTCCAGTCTTGAGGGATAATTCTATTACAAATTAACCATGAATTTAACATCTGCTTCACAAATGGGGAATGCATACCATATGAGACTATAGCATCTTTGAATCTCCTCAAATCTAACATTTGTACATGAGTCCATTGAGCTCTTACACAGCCTTGAGCATTTGGCAGTTCCTTTAAGGTTACTGGATAGATTAAGGTTGGCTGTTTGAAAGCCTTAGGCTGTTTCTCTGTAACCATATAATGCAATGCTGAGATTAGTTCACCTTTAAATTCCTGTCTGAATTTCTCTATGATCTGTTTTAATAAGTTTTTCTGAAAATTTTATCTTGGCACTCACATTAACCAACTTTTTAAATGATAAAACAGAAATGATCAAACAAATATTTATAATTGGCATTATATAAATCCCATCTACATTAATTTTCCTCTCATTTAATTGTTCTGTTTTCAGACTGTCAATTGTATTATCAAACAGAGGCCAAATCCCCTCCATTGTAAAAATGTTTCCCACTTTTTAATGTGGGAAAAAAATCTTTTTTAACTAATTTCTCCCTTTAACAAATCCCAATTGTCTTACCAAATCTGCCAACAATGATGATTCAGATGTAAGGCTGACTGCTTCTGCATAGAACAGTAGAAGCCTGAGCAAGTTTCAAGGCAGCTACCTAGTGTGGTAGCAGCTCAAGATGGGGATCCAGGGAGAGCCCACATCCCACCAGGAGAGAAGAAGCCAAAGAGCCAACCATCTGCACGAGGGAATGTGAGAAAGTGACTACCTCCTATGGTTTTTGGAGCTCCCCAAAAAGCCTATGGAGTTTGCTGTAGAGGGGCTGTGACAAAAACTTAGCCAGCGGGTTAGGGACTCCGGCTCACGTAGGGTGGAGACTCCGGCTGCATGCAGCTCGGGCCTGAGCCGGGCCTGCAAGGCCACAGACAAGTGGCTTTTTTGTGAATTCATGCCCCACAACTTGGATGCCAGATGTTGTTTGAATCTTAGATGGTCTTTTAATAAAAAACGCAGAGCCACATATCAGGGTGAAAACTGAAAGACCAGAGAAGCAGAATAGCCAGCCACTCAATTTTACTTCTACAAAATTTTCAACCTAAAGAGAGTGAATTTCTGTTTCCTCACACCTTATATACCTTTCTCCACCCAGACATTAGATTAAGGTGTGTGCCACGACTGCCTGACCTCTATGTCTAATCTAATGGCTGGCTCTGTCCTCTGATCCTCAGGCAAGTTTATTAGGGTACACAACATATCCTCACAAACCTCTCAGGAAACACCCTCACAGACAAGCTCAGAAGCTTGTCTCCTAGGTAACTCTACCCCCCTGCAGAGCTGACAATCAAGATAATCATCACACCACACTTGAAGCCGTTGTAAATCAGTAATCTGTGGCATGACTGACTACCAAGTCTGCCAGGTTAAAGACACAATGGACTTCGCAGCGGCAAAGCTGGATGCTCAGAGTAACTTCCTCCGGCTCAGGCTTCTCATAAGGCTGAAGTAGCCATGTTGGCTCAGACTGTCTTCATGGTTTTGATGGAATGATAGATTTCTTTAGTTGGATCTAGAAACCTGGGTGACAAAATAATAGTGAGAAAAAGGGCCAGGCTGGTAGAGCACTCATCAAAGTGCTTGCCTTGTAAGCAAGAGGATCTGGGTTTGATTCCCCCAGAAGCTGTGTTAAAAAAAAAAAAAAGCTGGGTGTGGTGGTGTAAGGTCATAGCAGGGACAGGTGGATTCCTGGGACCTGCTGGCTAACTTTGTGACAATGAGAGGACCCACCTCAAAAACCAAACCAAACCAAGGTGTTGGGGAATATTATTTTAAGGTGTGTTACTTTTGTTTATGTTGCATTTGTTTAACTCTGTGAAGATGTGTTACTGTGCCTATTTAAAACACCTCATGGTCTAATAAAGAACTGAATGGCCAATAGCAAGGCAGGAGAAAGGATAGGCGGGGCTGGCAGGCAGAGAGCATAAATAGAAGGAGAAATCTGGGAGGAGAGGAAGAGAGAAGGAGGAGGACTCCAGGGGCCAGCCACCCAGCTACACAGCACGCCACGGAGTAAAAGTAAGATTTACAGAAGTAAGAGAATGGGAAAAGCCCAGAGGCAAAAGGTAGATGGGATCATTTAAGTTAAAAAAAGCTGGCTAGAAACAAGCCAAGCTAAGGCTGGGCATTCATAATTAAGAATAAGCCTCTGTGTGTGATATACTAGGGAGCTGGGTGACAGGCCCCCAAAAGAGCAATACTAACAACAACACCAAGGTGGACAGCACCTAAGGAATGACAGCTGGGGTTGTTCTCTGGCCTCCACACACACACACACACACACACACACACACACACACACACACACACACACACCTGCATACATATAAACACACGCACACACACTCATTCGTGGGTTAACTCACTGATGGATTGTGGCATTGCTAGGCAGTGGTAGAAATAGGAGGTGGAGGACAGCAGAAGGAGGTGTGCCACTAGTGGTGTTCCCAGACTGGTATAGTTATCTGTGGTCACTCTCTTTCCCTTTCTCTGCTTCTTGGCTGCTATAATATAACTAACCTTCTCCACACCCCACTAGCCATCATCAAGTTCTCCTGCCTCATCTTAGTCCAAAGTGACAGGATCGGGTGACTGTCAACTGAAACCTCTTCTTGTAAAGGTTATCTCCTTAGGCTGTGTCAGTCACAGTGATAAGAAGCTGGGTAAGGGCCGACTGGATGGCTCACTGAGCTAGGCACTTGCAATGCAAGCCTGATGACCTGAGTGTGATCCCTGCAGCCTACATGAAGACGGAAGGAGAGAATTGACTCCACAAAGTGTCCTGTGACCGCCACATGGGCCCTGGGGATACACACGCACACACACACACACACACACACACACACACACACACACACACACACACACTATGATAATAAGTAATAGAATTTAAAGGCTGGGTAGACATACTCTACATCTCTAATCACAATCATCATGATTAATACCATCATCATCACTCTAGACAGATCTTGGACTACCTTCCATGGAAATTTATAATCTATGATTTTTAAAGGTAGTTGACTCCACACATTTACAGTGTTGACTGTATACCATGCAGTGGAACTTTCTATTTATTATTTATTTATTTATAATTTATTTTTGTGGAACAGGAAGGAGAAGCATGAGCTAGTGTTTACTCTTTGGAAATTCAGTGTCTACGAAGGCCCAACAAAGCCACTTGATCCTTTTCCTGAGGAACTGAGGAAAGCGCCCTATGGAGGAAAGCGGGCTGACTCCAGATGCCTCCCAGGAGGCCCCTTGCCATTCTGAATTTGTAATTTCTTGGGTAACGGGATATTAATTTGACTTTTGGTATTTTGGTTAAAGTACCCAATGATTGAGAACACCTATCTAGTACATGCTAAGAAATTGTGAAATGTTTTTTTGTAGTGTGAATTCCAATTGGTCTTAATAATGAAAACCTGGAGTCAGGTAGAGGGGTAAATGCTGAAAGATGGCAGAAGTAAAGAAGCTAGCCAGAGCCACCTCTTATCTCCATGACTCCTCAGACCAAAAGGGGGCCAAGCTCCTGTCTCTGCCCAGCCATATCACTTCCTGTTCCTGTCTACACAGACCTCCAGACCTCTCTGGTTAACTGATGGCTAGCTCCACTCTCTGATCTTCAGGCAAGGTTTATTTGTTAGATCACAAACAAAACATCACCACAGGTTTTTAATTTAAAAATTCTTAGTTTATTGTCTATGGGAAGCTGCGAGATTGATTGGGAAAGGTCAGGGAGTAAGTAGTTCTATTGAGAGAAAGGGCCAGAGTTAGGTAAGTTTGCCTTTTCTTCCTCATGGGGAGGCTCATGTCACTCATCACTTCTTCCAACCTAGACAAGCCAGGCCTTGAGAGTCCCTGGAATTGAAGGGACTTTGGAACTGGTGCAGATGGCATTCTGGAACGTGTAAACGAGAGAAACTAAAATCTCCTGCGGCCGCCATCTTTCTTTGGCAGACCTGATAAGAGATGATAAGCCTGCTAGGGATTCAGCCCTGAGCTGCTGGAAACCATGCTGGTGTTTGACTGAGCCCCTTACTATGAGTAATGTGAAGGGGGTAATTGGAACTCTTTGTAGTGAGAGCTTGTAGATATTATGGGCCAAGGTTGTCAGTCTGCATTGTGCTGCTATGCCTGAGACTGGTATCATAGTCTGTCTTGTACTGCAACAGAATACTGCAGAAGGGACAGTTTATTTACATTTATTATTGTTTGTTTATTTGAGACAAGGTTTCTTTGGGTAGCCCTGGCTCTTCTGGAACTCACTCTGTAGACCGGGCTGGCCTTGAACTCACAGAGATCTGCCTGCCTTTGCCTCCTGAGTGCCAGAATGGATAATTTATAATAAACAGAAATCGTTTGGCTTGCTATTCTAGAGGCCTGGAAGCCTTAGATGAAGGTGCCAGCAGGTTTTATGATTCTGATTCCAAGATGGCGCTTTGAATGCTGCATTGTCCTGGGGGAGGCTGCTTCGTCAGCACATGGTAGAAGGTGGAAGAGCAAACGGGCAGGGAGGGCTGGATTTACTCTCTCCTAAGGACCTATTCCGTATATGCAGGCACAGACCTCATCCTAGATCTTACCATCTAATTTTGGAGGTGGCCACATTCAACCATAGCCACAAGGTTGAGGCCCAATTGAGAAAAGGACCCAGAAGAGCCTCAGCAAGTTTTATCAGAGAAGGAACCTTCACAAAGGGACAAGAAGACTGTCCTAGTCACTGTTCCACTGCTGTGGAGAGACACTGTGATCAAGGCAACTCTTAGGAAACAAAGCATTTAATTGGAGCTTGCTTACAGTTTCAGAGGTTAGCCCGTGATCATCATGGCAGATCCTGATCTGTAGGCCGAAGGGGAGAGAGAGACAGAGAGAGAGAGAGAGAACACAAGCACCTAGCATGGGTTTTTGACACCTCAAAGCCCACCCCTAGTGACACACTTCCTCCAACTTGGCCACACCTCCTAATCCTTCTAACCCTTTGAAAGAATTCCACTCCCTAGTGACTAAGCATTCAAAGACATGAGCCTATGAGGGTCATTCTTATTCAAACCACCACAATGACCCCAACAAAGAATGAACAGGAAAGACTATTAGAAACAATGGGTTCAGATGTCAGCTGGAGAAGGAACAGCTTATATCAGGGAGTTATAGGAGTCTTCCCCATTAATTGTTATTAATTATTCCATTAATATGAGAAGACTGGAGAGGAAGCCCTCATGGTGTTATTAATCAGCTGAGGGCAGTTTTTCTCTATTTGAATGGAAAAATCACAGAGAGGCACAGGACAAAATTTTTAATGACATCAACTCCAAGCATAGGGGGTTGGGACCCTCTGATCTTAGTGTTATAACTCCAGGGTTCAAGTGCCTCATGCCTCAGCCCCGAGATTCTCTACTTGCTTGGATCCCCAGTGGTCAGAGCTAGTGACTCTTGGTGACTTTTTAAAACTTCCTGTGGCAGACTCTGGGCTCTCCCAATGTTGGCCCCCATCTCCTGTGGTGCCAACGCTGAGTTGTCTCTTGCCTTCTCAGTCACTCAGTGTTTTGGGTCTCCTCGGTTTTTCATGCTTTCTTCTTTCCTCAGTCTTGGCTGCAAACTATTCTACAGATCTCCTTAGCTATCTGGGTGTTTCTAGTGGCAGCCCAGTGAGTTGTCTGTTCTTCATGTTACCCGTGTACCACATGTAGACAGGAATCACTTAGGTGAGGATTTATTAGGGTCTAGGCTGCAGCACTATGGGCAGGGTAGTGTGTAGGAAGGAAGTCTTCTAGTCTGTTCTGAGGAGGTAAGATGAATGTTATTTGCGTAGTCAGTCATACATCTATCCTAGCTGTCGTGGGCAGGGGAGGTGTTCTTTCCTGACCACATTGAGGACAGCTTTGAGGAGGGTACAGCAGGTGTGTGTGTGTGTGTGTGTGTGTGTATCTAGAGTAGCTGTAAGCCTGTAAATAGGATCATTTAAGGGTCACCAGAAGCTTCCATGGCCAAAGCAAAGTCTCCAGAAACAGTCACTGTCAGGAGCATTGGCCACAACAGGTGTGATGGTTCTCGTGAGGGGACAGGAGTCTCTAGGGTATCTTCAGCATTCTGAAGTCTCTTCCAAGTGTTGGCAGCTGGATCAGTCTCTCTGAGCAACTGTGAGGTTTCCCAAACAGCCACGATGGTCTATACGGCAGCTTGAGGAAGTGCTGAGAAACAAGCTGAGGACGTGGCTGCTTTGGTATCCAACTCCCAGGACTCCTAAGAAATGGCTGGGTTGATGGTGTGATGGGTAATATTGGCTGTCAACTTGATGGAATCTACAAGACAAACTTCTGGGCATGTCTGTGAGAGAGTTTCTAGATTGAGTCTTTTGAGGTGTGAAGACTCACCCTAAATTCAGACAGTGCTATTCCAATCCTGGACTGAATCAAAACAAAGAGTTGAACACCAGCATTCATTGCTCTCTGTTCCTTGACTGTGGCTGCAGTGTGACCAGCCACCTCGTGTCCCTGCCGCCACGCCTTCCCAACCATGATGGACTGGACCCTTAACTGTGAGCCAAAATAACCCTTCCACCCCTCAAGTTGTCTTGTTTAGTCCTAATGATGAGAAAAACAACTCCTAAGATGAGGGTGTGGCCACTGGGAGGGAACTTCTGGAACTGTTTACAGCCCTGCTCCACTCGGGGATCAAGGAGCTGTTCTAATACAATCTGGCCTTCTGCTAAACACAATTAGTCACCTAGTCAAGTTCCTGGGAAGAGGCAGCTTTGGCTAGGTATGGGGAAGGTTCTGACACCTGTCAGTCAAGCCAGCATATTACAATCAATCCATGTGAGTCTATTAAAAGGGTAACAGAATTTATTAAGATATAAACTGAGGAAATACACTCACAAATATAGAATGGAATAGACAGCTGAAGTTATCCTCTGATCTGATGGGGAGCGAATCCACCTCTCAGGCAGGAGCAGGGAGAAGGGGCATGTGACCCTTCTCCCTTCCCTTATAAGAGGTCACAGCAGGCACCGCCTCCTCTGGGCCCTATAGCCCAAGGTCATGGGCGGAGCAAATACCACTATACCTACAGACTGCTCATCTATGACACCTGCACATAGAGGCCAGAAGTGAAAATTGATTTCTTTCTCTACCATTTCTACCTGCTCCCCTTTTCTTTTCTTGAGACAAGAGTCTCTCTATGTAGCTCAGGCTGGCCTTGAACTCACAGATCTTCCTGCCTCTGCCTCCGAATGCTGGTGTTAAAAGTGTGCACCACCACTCCTGGCTTACTCCCCCAGTATCTCTTACTGAACTGGAGTTAACTGATTGGCTAGGTTGGCTGGCCAATGAGCTTCAGGGATCTACCTGTCTCTGATTACCCTAGCACTGGGGCTGCAGACGCATGCTACAGTGTTTGGCTTTTCTGCGAGGGCCGGGAATCTGAATTGTCCTCATGCACGTACAACCGGTGTTCTACTGACTAAGCCATCTCCCCAGCCTCAGTCTTAATTGTTCAACAGAAACAAAACAAAACATTAAGTGGTGCAGGAGACAAAGATCTGCCATGAAATAAACCTCCCCTGTCTCCACTTGGGAGCTTTTCCTAAGAATGCTTAATCCTCATCCAAGTAAACACCCCTCGGGAGGATGGGCTTCTGCTGGTCTGTCTCTTGGGAGGAAGGCAGCATGTAGATCGCTGGCATGACGGAGGATTTCAGCCAGCACAGATGCTCTTGGTTCTGTAAGGTCCGCGCTCACATTCTCTCTCCCTGCTCTTTGGGTCCGTGGTCTTGGCCTTACAGAAGCCTAAATAAACAAGTGAGTGGTGGAAGAGGGAGAAACTGAGAAGTCCACACAACACCCTCTCCACTGTTTCCACTATTTCCTGATCCTGAAGGAGGAAGAGGACTTTTTCACTGGATGAAAAGATTGTAGATTTATTTGGCAATGGTGGCGCACACCTGTAACCCCCAACCCTCAGGAAATGGATGCAGGACCATGAGTTTTAGGTTTGTCTGGAATACACAGAGAGACAAAACAGGCAAACAACCAAAGACTGGGAATGTGACTTAGTTTTGAACACTTGTCTAGCATGTGCAAGATCTTGAATTTCATCCTTAGTTCAACACACACACACACACACACACACACACACACACACACACACACACACGGGAACGAGAGACAGCACTCAGCTTTGACGTGTCACTGGATGAGATGTGAATTATCTACAGAATGAGCCTGTTACTAGATGCCTGAGCATGATGAAGGTAGTTACAGAGGCATCTATGATCACTAAGATGCCCAGGGTTCAGAAGACAGCAGCTTGGCAGAGATACAGATGAGAAAATATGATTGCCTTAGTTGATTCCAGCTTATTCAGAAGCTTGGTAACATTTTTCCAGAACATTCTTCTTTCTGTAAGAGTAAGAAAACAGGTTAGCCTTGTTCCCTGTGGAGTTCCTAGCACTAAGCCGTGCGTAAGTCGTAGAGCATGTTCAGTCAATCTTGATGTCATCTCACTGATCTGAAGTGACGATCCAGGTAAGAGCTGGTAAAGGTGTTATCAAGTCTGGTGACTCAGGAGAAGAGACTGAGGCCATACTCTGAGCCACAGGCACCCGTCCTGCCTCTGCGGCTACTAGCCTGCTACCTTGAGCATGCCACTTGAACATTTTAGGCTTCAGTATTCCGGTCTGGAAGATGAAGAGAGAATTAGATTGGTTGAATGGATTCCAAAGCAAGCTGTACCTGACAGTTATCTGTGGGGAGCATTGAAAACACAAAATACAAGGCTTGGGGTGTCTACAACAGGTTCCAGAATCTAGTTGTTGAGGATTCTTGGATAAATCTTGGTGGACACATACGTTCGTCCTTTCCCGTCACTGGGACACAATAGCTGAGAAACAGCTTCAAAGGAGGGAAGGTTTGTTTTGGCCCACGGCAGCAGAGGCCTCTGGGGAAGGAGAACATCACAGTGGCAGGGGGCTGTGGCGAAATAAAGCTGGTCCCCTTATGCCGGCCAGGAAGCAGATGGGCAGAAAGCAAGCTTGCTGGTGGGTTTCTTGCTTCTCCTGATTCTGTTCCATCTGGGCTCCCAGCCCATTGGACGGTGCCACCCACATATGGAGAAGTTCTTCAGTTACTGTTCTTAATGCCGGCGGGCTTTGGAGAGGTCCTCACAGACACACCCAAGTGCGCTTTATTACCCAAAGGATGAGACTAGTATTTAATGCCCAAGAGTGATGGAAGTAGTTACAGATCGCCTAAGAGCACCAAGGCTGCCAGGGACCAGGAAGACAGAGCGGTTTTGAAGAGATGCTGAGGAGAAAGTAAGACGGCCTTAGCTGATTCCATCTCATCCAGAAGCTCGCTGTCTCTCAGTCTAATCTAGCTGACATGGCTAGTTAACCACGGCGACAAGTCAGGCAGCGAGGAGCCTCTAGGTAGGTGATTGGTAAGTTCTGCTCCAGCTTCCAGGGTCCAAATCATGTTCCTTATCTTCCAAAAAGGGGTGGGGTGATCTTAGCTTCTGCCCCATAGGATGAACTCACAGCACACACCAAAAGCTTGAGGGAAGTTCTGGGCTCTTCCTATCAATCATAACAACAGACATTTGTCACCACTGTAGAACTGTCAGCTTTGAAATGGGTTTTAAAGCCTCAGACGTAAGGAACGCCAGATCCTTTTTGTCTCTTTTGCTGTTACACAGTTCTAGCAGAGGCCACGCGCTTTCTCCCTCCCATGTGTTTGTCATTATTGTCTCTAAAGTGTTTTCTTGTCCAATCCCACCCCCACACCATGCTTGTAGCGTTCCCCCTTATACTGGAATCACGGACATTGCTCATTCATTTTCTAGTCCTCGAGGCAACACTTCACTGGTGCCGTCTCCCATGTCCCTGAAATGAAGTCTTGGCTAGGAGAGTTCTCTGTGGGTTGCAGAACAAGTAAAACAAGGACCTGGGGCTGTGAGTCTCCATGTTTCTGTGGTCAAGGCCATGGACTGAGGGATGCTATTATTCTGAGACTGCTGACCTTGGCGACACTCAGCTTCCTGGCTGCATCTTGACTTGGCCAAACAGTTTGCGCTAGGCCAGCAGTTGTGAAATCTCCAGCAGATCTGAGTGGTACTGTTGGTCTATTTTTAGAAGTGTTGTCCTTGAGGCTACCAAGAATGGGGGTTCTGTGGTATTTCGCCGCCTCTCTCGGGCCTTGCCATCAGGGAGTTGACCTCATTTTCACTCTCCCTCAGTAACTGACTGCAGAACCATGTCTGAGCTTCTCCAGGACCCTTTCTCCTGTGTGCTCCCATGACTGAACTCCAGACACAGTGACTGTTGTCACAGTCAGAAGAAACGGAACCTGGCCTCAGGCACTGCTCCAGTACATTTCTCTATAGCCACAAAGAAGATGCTATAGACCAATGTATCCTAATTCCCTGCAGGCCTCTTCTTTTCCCAAGCTGTCAAGTAAGGGGAAAAGTCAAACTGGTAAGAGTTTATTGTAATCGGATACAAGGCAGCTATCAAAAATGTGGCTATATCCCCTACCTCTGTTCTCAGCCACCCCTTTCCTTACCACCATTATGAGACTTGACCGTTGACTATTGGTTACGTGTGAGCTTGCATTAGCTAGCTGGTCACACAGATCACTATGGTCCAGGAAAATGAGAGCACCCACAGCTTGTGTTGAGTGAATTCTGAGTAAGCCGAATGAAAACTAAGTATTGCTCATCTTCTGGTTCCATTTTCACACAGGGTTTAGAGAAGGTGGGTGTTCCCTCATGTCTGTAAATGAATTTCTACACCTTTGGCTTCAGAGTCTGGCAGACAGAGTTCCCAGGAGGGACAGGACAAAGTGTAAGGTCCAAACTGATATTTCCTGTTGTGAGTCTTGCTCTCGTCATCTGGAGAAAAGAAAATAAGAAAACATACACTACTGTGAAGCTGTAACCCAGACCCCCGTCAATCCTCTCAACCATCAAGTCAGACCTTCCTTGTATTCTGCCCTGCCCTTCAGCCACTTCTTTGTCTTAACTAAACAATTTTGCCTTGTAACCTAGTACCAGGCAGTGACATGGGCCACTGACTCCTAAAGGTACACCTGCCACCTCTTTGGGGATGAGAGGATTGACAGACCCAAGAAAGAATATGAGACTTTGACTCATTAACAACCTCACAGCGAAATGGATTTTAGTTTTCATACATTTTCTTTTTATGCCCCAAATGTTATGAAATAAAAATCAGGGCTTCAGCTTGTTTCAAGACTGAACCCCTTTGCCTCTAGCCAGTTGGGTAGTGCTTCGTTCAGATTTAATTCGGTGATTTTGTTTTATTTGATATACCACCTCTGTTCCACATAGTCTGTTGCTTTTTCACTCAGCGATACCTGGCTCAGCAGGTGATTTGGCTTCAGTTATAGATGCTGGTTTATTGAGGTTGGGACATACAGATTATAGGGGTAGACCAGATGTCCAAGCAGGTGGTTGGTATGTTCCTCAAGATACTTAAAAACATTGGGAATAAGAGACCTACTTAAAAATATTAGGAGAGTGGATTTCTGGCCTTTTGACAAGGCAGCAGGCCTGGTCCCGCTGTGGGCACAGCTGAGCCCTCAGGTGCCTGGCTGGTGTGACGTTTGCTGCTTGGGGCTTGCTTGTATTCGGCGCACTGTTCACCACCACGCTTGAACTCTTAGCCTTTCCATGGCTTCTGGGATGAAAGCAGGCATCATTTCCATGGCCCACAGGCCTGGGCAACTTAATTCATGCCTGCCTCTCTGACTACACCTTGTTTCTTATAGGAATAGCAAATGTACATCCTGTTGCTAACCTCGTCTCCGATTTTCCCCTTTTCTATCACAATGCCGAGAGAAGGTACTGTTATTGTCCCTCCTGCAGGGGAAGGAACTGAGGGACAAAGAAGCCCCATCACTTGTCCAAGAGCACATGGCTGAGATGAGTGGGGACCGGGACTCACACCCAGGCAGCCAGACCCTCAGGGACCTCACCCCGCCTTCAGGTGCTAAGGTCTTTTCTCCACAGGCTGACGGCTCCTGTTCCCCACGAGGGCTTTCCTCCCACTGTTCCTCTTCCTTTGGCTCTGCCTCAAATGCTGCTTCCTCAGGGAGGCCTGCTGGCATTCAGACTTCTAGATCATAGGGTTTGGTGATCTCAAGTGGTACCCTCCAACAGGAACACCTGAGACAAAGGGACGCTGCCTTCGCGCCATGCAGTGAGGAGGAGCTGTACTTGTTGTACTTGGCTTGTGTGAATGTAGAGTGGATTTGTTCATTTTGTTTAATTCCAATAAAGTATAGTTTAAATCAGCACAGCTGTGGAGCGTTCACCTGTTTGGGATTATATCCCCTGGAGCTCTAGTTGGAAGGGTAGACACAGTGGTTGCTGCTGTCCATACCATCCTTTACCCCTTCCTCTGCGCCTGTCCCATGCTTGGTGAAGGAGCCACTTCACCTTGTCTCCATCAGAGGACAATGAGGACAGGAACCATCTGAAACCTCAGAACAGGAGGTGACAGGAGGTGAAGTATTGGCAGCATGGTCACTGGTGTCAGAGCCAGGTGTGAACCCAGCTCTCAAAGTCATGCGGCCCTCAGGTTTCCCACTGGGGAAATGGGAGATTTTCTGCCTCAGAGGATCGCTCTGCAGAATAAGTGAGGGTTGAGGTGGAAGTTCAGAAGGCAACGCGCTGGTTCTGCAAACACGAAGACCAGAGTTTGATCCCTAGAACAAGTTAAAAAAGGCAAGAGGTGGCGGGGCTTCTTGTAATCCTGGGAGATGGAGATGAGAGGGTCCTGGGGGGCTGATTGCACTTCCAGCCTAGCTTATTTGATGAGTTCCAGGCTAGTGAGATTCTGTCTTTAAAAAAAAAAAAAAAAAAGTGGATGGTTCCTGAAGTGTGACAGCGGAGATTGTCCTGTGACCTCTGCCATCTCACACACACACACACACACACACACACACACACACACACACACACACACACACACACGCCACGATGTTTTCCATATCTTACAGCAGTTTCCCACATAGTGTTCCATTCAGCCCTCCCAGGAGGCTGACAGATGGGGGTCAGGATGTGTGGACACCTCAAGAGCACACGATAGAGACCCACTGGAGCTCAGCGGCTTCCATCCCACCGTTTGCTGTTGGTCCTGTTATGGGGAGAATCCCAGCTCAGCAGCTGCTGCTTGCCCTGTGTGCTGTTCCTCTGTCTGCAGGAAAGAGATCCATGGTATGAGGCCCTATGGGGCAGCTCTGGACAGCTTCGGTCTTTGTGGGGCTCTGTGGGGCTGAGCCTGGTGGAGCAGACAGGCCGCTCCTCCACAGAGGCTCAGAGGCCCAGAAGCCTGGGACAAGCACAGTGCCAGGTGTCCCTGAATGGCTCTGGTGACCCCACTGTGGCCTTTGACCTTTCATGGACTCAGTGGGTCACATAAGCCTGTCCAGCTTGGTGATGTCAGCCTCTCTTGCCTCAGTCAGGGTGGCCTGCCTTCACCCTCCATGAAGACCCCTCCTTGAGGGACTCAGACTCTGAGGCCAGAAGGGAGAGTGAAAAGGGTTGAGAGGAGGGAGGCAGGAAGAAGCTGTGTGAGGGAGGGGCCGTCTCTGTCTGGAATGCTGATAACTACCGTTGAGCAAGTGTCCAGAACGTGCCAGGTACTATTTAAATCACTTCATCACTCAAAATAACCTTTATGACTTAATCCTGTTTGACAGATGAAGAAGCTGAAGACCAGAGAGGTTAGGTAACATTCTTATCATCACACAGGAAGTGGGGGAGCCAGAATTCCTACCCAGACAGTTGGACTTCCTAACCTCAGTCTTCATAAAATGATCAAGTCTGATTGTTTTGTGGTGGAGGACTGGTTGGCACCCCTGAGCTTAGCCCTCAGGCACACCCTGCTTATTTCCTAGTTGACATCTGAAAATTCGAGGAGTGATGAGGATTTGAACAAGGAGACTCCAGCCTGTAGATACAGAATGAGAATGCAGCTTCTCCTCCAGGTGTGGCAGCCTGAAGTCACATGACCAGCAAAGCCTCCTGGCCAGTGTCGTCTACAGCCTGCCTCAGACATGGATGAGAAGCCTTGAGAGGATAAGGTCCGGTGGAGTCTCCATGTAAATTTGCTGACTAAGAGTGAACCCTGCCCCATGTTGGGTTCAGTGGAACCTAGAGGGAGAGACAGGCTGGCTGCAGGGGTGAGAGGTACAGGTCAGGGAGGTAGTGGAGAGTAGGGAGAGGCTGCTGATTTTGGAATTGGTAAGTCATGGGCTCCTGCTGTGTCCCGTGTGTGTGTGTGTGTGTGTGTGTGTGTGTGTGTGTGTGTGTGTGTGTGATCTGCCCTATGCCCCTTCTTCCTGAGGATGAAATGGTTCTTGTACATGTATGAATAGATATGGGCTTGCTGAAGCACCTAGGGAACAAGGCCATCTCAACCAGAGACTGCTGTGACCATTCCTAAGAACTGAACAGCTCCTGAAATACTTAATAAGTTAGAGTCTTTGGGAGATAATCGGCTCCACCTGGCAAAGCCATGTAGAAAAAGCTACGTGAAGCAGGAGGATACAGATTTATTTCTGCAGGAATTCTCAACACCTTTAGCTTCTGGGTCATCAAACTCCATCTCCAGTCATGTGTCTTAGGATTATCTATTCTTGTCTTTTTTGTTTTTTTTTAAGATTTATTTATTTTAAGTATATGAGTGCTCTGTCTGCATGTTCGATGTTATGCCAGAAGAGGGCATCAGATCCTACTGTAGAAGGTTGTGATCCACCCTGTGGTTGCTGGGAATTGAACTCGGGTCCTCTGGAAGAGCAGCCAGTGCTCTTAACTGCTAAGCCATCTCTCTACCTGCTAAAGGGAAGACTTAATTAAAAGAGAAAAAAGAACTCTCAATTTTTACAAATCTTAAAGTATTTTGGAATCTTTTGCAGCACTTTGAATGTGAACCAGTACGTTGTTGAAGACTTAAAAGAAGAAGAAGGAAAAAGGCCAAGTGTGCCACCGAAGGCATCGGGGCAGATAAAGCCAGAATTTATAGGTGGGTGCTCACTGTGTGCAGACTGTGTCTTACACAGGACCGCAGTTACTCACTGACAAGTCATGTGTCATTTTTGTTAGAAAGGGAAGCTGAGTCCCAGGGAGTTTAGCTGTCCAAGGCGGCCAGGATGACTCCCAGGCTGGTGTCCCTGCAGGGATGGATGGGGCCCAGGGCCCAGGGCTGCTGGGAAACACAGAGTAACAAAGATGGGCTGGAGGAGCCCGCACATCCGCTGCCTGAGCTCTCCTCTGGCCAGAGACGCTTGAGTAAATGAGGGAAAGGTCGCGTCTTTGAAGACAGACAAGCCATAAAATGTCAGACTGCATCGAGATTGGGACACGGAGAATGCGGATCTTAGAAGGGAGCCTCTCTCCCTTCAGCGCTTGGCAGAGTCCTGGACCTGCCAGGTATTCACGTGGGTCTATTGGGATTTTTCTGCCACATTTTATTTTTTTCTCATTTCTGAAAAATGACTTGGAAGCCACTTTCTCAGAAACTGGCTTTCATTTTACATAGGGCAGCTTCAGCAACTTTATACTGTCGTTTACAAGGACCATTGCATTTACAATAGCCCACTCCATATTAGAAATAAAACCTTTTGGGGACAAAAAGTATGTTTTCTCTCCCGTCTAGGGCCATCAGTCTTTTCTAAGGAAAGGATGAAATGGATATTTATGAGAAAGAAAAATGGGAAGTGGGCTGGAAGTTATAACCTTCGTGGTCTAGTCCCAACAGAGTAAAGATGAAACATTCTACCCAGCTGGGTGTCCGTGAGCACATTTCTAAGCTTCTCCATATCAGTTTCCTCATTTGTCAAATGAGAGGATGCCTTCAGGGATGTGCCCTAGTGACCCACCTCCCCCTGCTAGGTCTCATTTCCCCGAATGAATCACACACCCAGCTGGAGCCCTAGCTCCTTGCTTCTGGAGTCTGAGCTGGGTAGCCTCCTGTCATGGTACTGTGTGGATGCTGGTCAGTGCTGGAGTGATGTCTGGTGGATGGTTACTATGTAACAACCACATACCAGAAGCTATTACCAAGTTTGAGGGTTTGGACACCTTCAACATTCAGAACATGTTTGCTTCTCTGTCTGTTTTGAGTCAGGGTCTCTTGTAGCTCTGGCTGGTCTCAAACTTTCCATGTAGCTAAGGTCGGCCTTAAACTCCTGATCCCCATGCCCCCATCTCCCAAGTGCTTGGATTACAGGTGAGACCACTAAATTGTGCTGGGGAATATTATTTTAAAGTGTGTTACTTTTGTTTATGTTGCATTTGTTTAACTCTGTAAAGCTGTGTCACGGTGCCTTGTCTAAAACACCTGGTGATCTAATAAAGAACTGAACAACCAGTAGTAAGGCAGGAGAAAGGCTAGGTGGGACTGGAAGGCAGAGAGAAGATACAGAAGGAGAAATCTGGGAGGAAAAAAGAAGTAGGAGCAAGAAAAGGAGAAGGAGCAAGAGAACATGGAGAAGAGGACATCAGGGGCCAGCCACTCAGCTATACAGCAAGCCACAGAGTAAGAGAAAAAGAAAGATATATAGAAATAGAGAAAGGAAAAATCCCAGAGGCAAAAGATAGATGGGGATAATTTAAGAAAAGCTGGGTAGAAACAAGCCAAACTAAGGCCAGACATCTATAATTAAGAATAAGCCTCTGTGTGTGATTTACTTGGGAGCTGGGTGGTGGGCCCCTGAAAGAGCAAAAACAACCCACAACAAAACTGTGCTTTTTAGGAATAACAGGTCAGGTATCTTTGGATTACCCTTCCCAGTGGTTGTCTCTTTTCGGCTTACTCTGGGCCTGAGGTTGCTAGGCCGGTCTCCTTTTGGCTTTAGTAGTCCAAGTGTGGCTCTGTTGGTGCCACAGGGCAGGAGGTGTGCACAGGTAGATGTCAAAGAGAACCAACCAGGCTGCCCACTCTCTTTTGTCTCTCCATCTGCCTCATGTATACTCACCATTAAGTGAGCATGAATGCCACCAAGCCTGTGCCCAAGCATGGGGATGCGGGGATGGTGGCCCTGGTAGTGGAAATGACTATCACAAGGCTAATGGGCAGTTACCACTCGTGATCACAAGTGCATCACGACATGCACTGTGGATGCACTGCACTGAAGGAGGAGTCCCATTCCAAGTGGAGCACGGTAGGAAAGGGCATGATCTTGCTACTCAGAATGGCAGGCACCTTGAAACTTACCGTGACATCTGGAATTTTCTTTTCAGTATTTTCAGGCTGAAGTTGACCACAGTAACATGAAACTCTGAAAAGTTACAGAAGAGGGGAGGTGTTACGATTTGTATTTCAAAGTCTCCCCAAGGGTGTGCTAAAAGTTTGGTCCCCAGCCTGTGGCACCACTGGAAGGTGGCGGAGACCTTTATGTCCCTGGGAGGATGCACTTGAGGGGGGTTTGGAACCCAGGACTAGTCTTTCTCGTTGTTTCCCAGGAGAACAGGACTGACTCCTCTATCACTTGCTCCCGCCATGAGGGTGGTGCCCATCATAGTCTCAAAGACAGGGTCAAGTGACCATGGAGTGAATCTGAAAATGTGAGCTCAAAGCCAGCGAATTGTCACAGTCATTTTGCTGCAGTAACAGGACGCTGGCCCACACAGGAGGATGACATAATACAGAAGGGCAGTCACCTGCCCGAGGACATGCTTCATAGAGGTGTCCAGTAAACAACCACAGAATGAATCCAGGCATCAGTGACTGGTGGAGAGATAACCGAGGAGGAGGAGCAGGAAGCCATGAGATCATGATGACTCCCAAACCCCAGAACCCGGCTGGTTAAACCATGGGCAGCCCCCTGGAGCTGGCTGGACTCAAGGCGCTCGGTGCCAGCCTGTAGACGGTGAGCACTGCTGGTTCTGCTCAGTCGATCTCATTTCGTGCCCCAGGGCTGTCACTCTGACATCCTGGCACGCTTAAGGAGAAATGGGTTCTCTCCTGTGCTCTGAAGCACAGCTCTGCACATGTGTAAAGTCAAACACACACGCGTGCGCGCGCACACCCAGACACAGACACACACAAAGCCATAGGAAATGTGTCCCCTAAAGTGTTAAAAGTGGGGTTGACACTGCTATAATGATGAATAATTCATTTGATTGAAAATGATACTGAGGTTGACAAAATAGAGAAAGGTACAAATAATTTAACAAACCTCCTGCCACCTTGAGTTACTGTTAACATTTCATCTAACTCGTTTCAGATATTTTTATGCTGGTGAAAAATTAGAACTGAAGGCTGAGTTCTCCTGACAGCTCCGTGGGTAAAGGTGCTTTCTACCAAGCCTGATGCTCTTAGAATGATTCCCAGGGTCTGTGTGGTGGAAGGAGAGAAGTGACTGTCTTCTACTGTTAAGATGTCTTCTACTTTGCACATGCAAGCTGAGGCACACGCATGCTCTCTCTCTCTCTCTCTCTCTCTCTCTCTCTCTCTCTCTCTCTCTCTCTCTCTCTCTCTCTCTCACACACACACACACACACACACACACACACACACGAATGTACACATGCATACATGCATGTACACACACAAGCACACACATAGGCACATTGCACACATGCATACACATATGCACACAATTAACAAAAAGTAGATTAGAAAACCTGAAAATGAGTAAGGGTTTCCCTTTCCCCCTCAGGGTCCCCGTCCCCCTCAGTCTACTTCTGCCTCCCGCTTTCCTTTCATGGCATCTCTCACTTCATACCCGCAGGAGCTGGCAACATATATGTGGAGTGATTTCCATTCTGTCTTTTATACTTGACAATGTTATTTTAAACAACAGGTAACATGAAAGAATGAAATAATTTATTTTTCTAAACACAATTTCTCTTCTTTTAACAGCCAGAACATGAGACCAAAAATCTCAGGTTTTAAAAAAGATTTATCTTAGTTTTTAAAATGCGTGTGAGTCTGTGTGTGTGTGAATATGTGTGTATGCACGTGTGTGTATCTTTACGTGTGTGTCTCTGTGCGTGCATGCATGTATGTGTGTCTGTGTGTATGTATACCACAAGTGTGCAAATGCACTCAGAGGCCAGGAGAAGCCTTGGATCCCTGGAGCTGGAGTTACACGTGGCTGCTGTGGGTGCTGGGAACCGATCTATGGTTCTCTACAAGAGTGGCATGGAGTGACTCTTAGCCACTTCTCCAGACCCTAAAATCTCAGTTTTAGGATTAGCATTTTCCAATAGACTCCATCACCAAGAAGAGAGTGAGTCATTGATCCCGGAGGATGCCTTTGGGTTCTGTCTTGCTGCATGTCTACAGGGGTCCTAAGTGAAGTGTCACTACAATAGCCCTCCACATCCATGGGTTCTGAAACCTCAAATTCAACCAGCCTCAGACTGAAAATGTGTGAAAAGGAAGGGTCTATATTATACATGTGTAGCTATTTTTCTTTAATGATTCCTTAAGCAATATAGTACAACCACTGCCTATCTAACACCTACACTGTGTTAGACAGGGCGAGCATATCAGAGATCTTTTAAAGTGTGCACTCAAGGATGCTCATAGGTTATATGTAAATGCTGTGCTATTTTATTTGAGCATGTGTGGCTTATTGTGTGCACGCGCGCGCGTTTGTGTCTGTGTGTGTGTGTGTGTGTGTGTGTGTGTGTGTGTGTGTGTGTGTGTGTGTGTGTGTGCAGGTGAATACACCCACATGTACATGTGCTGAGGCTGGAGGAAGATACTGTGTGGCCTGCTCTGTCACTACCAATCAAACTTATGTCCTTGAGACAGGGTCTCTCACTGAACCTGGAGCTAGATAGACAACCAGCTAGACTCAGCCATCTTCCTCTCCTCTTCCCACAGCACCAAGGTTATAGATGTGCATGGCCATGCCCAGCTTTTTATGTGAGTGCTGAGAGTTGACACTCAGGTGCCCATCTTGTGCAGCAAGTGTCCACTCAATTACCTCCCTAACCACTACTCCATTTTTTGTCAGGGACCTAAGCCTCTGCCAGTTTTAGGGTCCACAGGGGTGAGGGGCCTAGAGCTTGTTTCTCCCAGACAGCGAGGGTGACTCTGTACATACAACATCACAAGAACTTTCTGTATTTAATTTCCTGGAATCTTCTTAGAACTCTGGGGGAAGGTATTTCTCTCCCATTTTTCTGATGGGGAAACTGAGAGTCAGAGGAGGGAAGCGATAAGTGGGCTGCTCAGTTAACAGCAGGCATTCTCACAGTTGTCCCAGTGCTCAAGCCAGGAGACATCCCAGTGACAGGAGCGGCAGGCACTCTCAAGTCCTTGTCCTCATCAGCAAGGACTTCTGTCTGGTGCGCTGTTTTCTGTCACTCATCATTTTCCTGAAAACCTGTCTCCTTGGGCAACACTTTCCATCACAAAAGGTGATTTGTTTTGGAAATATCTGAGTAAAAACAGCTCTGTAATTCTTGATTTTAGAGCATAGAAAAACACTTGCTATTTGGTTGTATTTTCAATAGACACTTTAAGAAGCATGATAGTCACTCATGGGCTAGAGAGATGGCTCAGAGGTTAAGAACATTGACTGCTCTTCTAGAGGTCCTGAGTTCAATTCCCAGCAACCACATGATGGCTCACAACCATCTGTAATGAGATCTGGTGCCCTCTTCTGGCAGCAGGCAAACATGCAGTCAGAACACTGTATACATAATACATAAAATAAATCTTAAAAAAAAGATAGTCACTCATAAATTATTACTTCTGTGATGATCACCCCAAATGCTATCCAATAACCTTTCCAAGAATAACCAGTGAGTGAAAAGTGAATCAAGAAATAGACCAGTTATGTTTGAAATCTACATTCTGTGCACTAGAAGCATCAGCAAGCTCAACTTCCAATTACTTAGTATTTCTCAAGGACCAGCAGGCTTCTGATGTTTGGGGGTGGGGTATCTGGGTAGACAAGGTTCTTATCTATGGAAGTTTCAGCTTCAAATTCTCATGTGATGTGCAGAGCTGTGAGAAGCTCTGGGAACATAATGGCTGGAGCTTGTGCAGTGCTGTGTGGCTAAGAACATCCACTCAGACAGGATTTCAGCAGCTGACCCAATAAGGTGGGGAAGGGGCTCTCCCTGTTCTCATTTTATTGAACAGGTAAGTAGATTGCACAGAAATGTGGTAACTGACTGGGGTCACCTGCCTGGACAGTGACTGTACCCTCTCTCCAGCTAAGGATCCATCTATGGTCTTTCTGCTGGGGGATAGGCTGATTGGGGCTGGAATACTGGTTCTGATGCCCTGAGCCAAAGCACCCTTGACCAGAACCCATCCCCTACAAACCTCACATCTCCTATAGGAAGAGCATGGCAACTAAGTGCTTTAGAAAAGACAGGAGAATAACAGGAGCTGAGGAGAGACCCCAAACCACAAATGTCTCAGATCAGGCTTATCACCAAGAAGGGTTCAGTGGGATCCTGAGAAGGCTCATGAAAGTGTGTGGTGACACCCTCTCCTCCTCTCTCCTCCTCCTCTCCCTTCTCTCTCCCTTTTCTTTATTTTTCTTCTTCTTTGGGGGTGTGTGTACATGTGTTTGTTGAGGGGGGCAGAGATCAATGTCAGGTGTATTTCTCTGTCTCACCTCACCTTATTTTTTTGAGGCAATATTTCATTGAACCTGATTAGACTAGACCGGTAAGCCAGCAAGCCCGGGACCCTCCTGTCTCTCCTTCCCCAGTGGTAAGATTATAGATAGGCTGTAGCCGGAAGTTTTCCTGTGTCCCACTTGGCCCTCAGTAGCTTGTAAAATAATCACTCAGAGGCTTAATATTAATTACAAACTGTTTGGTCTATGGCTCAGGCTTCTCGCTAGATAGCTCTTTCATCTTAAATTAACCCATTTCTATTAATCTATGTGTTGCCACTTGGCCGTGGCATTACCAGTCTGCTGACATGTTGCTCCTTGGGTGGCAGGCTGGCGCTTGCCCTGACTTCACCCTTCTCCCTGCATCTCTGCTTGGATTTCCCACTGACTCTTATCCTGCCTTGCCATAGGCCAAAGCAGCTTCATTTATTAACCAATGGGAACGACACATATTCACAGCGTACAGCAAGACCATCCCACAGCAATAGCCATGGGCAGTCCAGTGTGGTGTGGGTGGTCCAGTGTGGAGTGGGTAGTCCAGCACAGTATGAGGGACCCAGCATGGTGTGGGGGGTCCAGCATGGTGCGTGGGGGTTCCAGGGTGGTGTCAGGGGTCCAGTGTGGTATGGGCAGTCCAGCAAGGCGTGGGTGCTCGGGACTAAACTTCTCGTGAGACAAGCACTTTA